TTTCCCCCCCCCCCCCCCTGCTTTAAAGGACGATCCAATATACAAATATCTCGTATTCATGCTAGGTCCGGGTAAGGGCCGTCCCCCTGAGAGGTATGATGTAGGCAGTTTACCTTGATGCAAGCATTAATGACTGGTTCCACGGCTCGAATTTCTAACCTATAGGTCACACGAAGATAACTTTTCCCCTACTTTATTATGTCTAAAGTAGGAGTTCGAGGAACTATAGAATGTCGATATAGCTCATCTTACATAATAACTCTTCTATATGAAATTCATACATACAATTAATTCTACCTTTTGCTAGCAAATACATCAGTGATGTTGAGCCAATTGCAAATTATTACTTTTTCTTATCTTTTTAAAGTGAAAGTCTACCCTTTTGTGTTTGAGAAGTAGAAAGCGTGGTCTAGAACTTGCGACTCACTTGATTTTGTTTGGATTTTTTCTAGTCTAGAATGAGTTTTTGTCTAAGAAAAGACAGTTAAAGCATACTCTCTTTTTTGTCATAAGAAAACTAATATTATTACTACTAAAGGAGTTTGTTACATAGCTTGATTTATATAGGATATATAGTACTTAAACAGTAGTTTAAAAGAAGATAAAGCAAAACACAAGAGGTACATCACATAACATTAAGCTTTCAAAAACTTCTAAAAGGATTCTATGTTTGGCTAGATCATATGTCACGTGGTTGCATTCCCCAAAAGTGTGCCTTAGTTCCGAATTCCCCGCATTAAACTGATACCCTCCAAATTGGGGTGGGACGTGATTGACATCTGACTCTAATGAATCATCGGGCGAACCTAGTTTTATTGAGTATAAATATCATAAATACCATTAGTGCAAACTAACCAAAAATAATTAAACTTTAATTAAATCAATTGTCTAACAACTTAACTACGTGAACCTAACGTAGTTGAACTATGAACTATAATCCAATGAACCAAGTCATGAGCTCTAAAGATTTAAATCTGAATACATAAATCGTGAGGCATTCTCAAATAAATAATATGCTACCAAACCTGTTAAATCGATTTAATTTAGGGATTTTAAAGTTTTTCTCTGATTCATTCATATACTATTTTTAGTTTATTGTTTCGACTAATTTGAATTCACATCCATAGTACGAACATTCTCTAATATCATCTAATTGTCGCATTAAATAGCACTTGATATGGGGATGAAGCGCAAATTTCAGCCCCCTCACTCCCAAAGTCATCAACAGTTGGCATGTAAAAACAAAGTCAATGGTTAACCAAAGAACAAAAAGAAAGGATTAAATTTACAATCATTTCTTGTCCTTTGTTTGACCATTGAATCATTGTTCTTGTTTTAATGCTTAAAACTACTGTTAAATTGATGTCAATTTTTTTTTTTAAAAAAAAATATATATTCTGTCAACCAAATAAACGATTTATAAGTTGTGATCATATATCAAGTTGAACAACACTACAAAGTTATTACTGTTTGATCAAAAAGTGTAATACTCTTTATGAAACTAATTAAATGATAATTGAGTTGAAAGGCGAATCCTAGTCAAGCATAATAATTCCTAGATCTAGCTTAGAATTTGAGTGATACCGTTTACCTAATGCTCAAAGTCGTGTATTCAATCATTAAATGCACACTTTAGAGAAAAATGAAGAATGAATGATGAGCAATAAATATGGGAGATGGCAATAAACATAAATAGGAAGAACAATTCACCCAAATATCAAATGAGGTGAAAGATTCTTCCTTCTGACAACGAGATGTGGCAGTAAACAACGATATGAACAATGCTTTCTTGGATCGTGTGAATGAAAGGTGGGAATAATGGATAAAATCAATGATCATGGAAAGGTGAACTTTATATTTTCTTTCAAAGGTCAACTTCTTACAATAGTTTTCTTTTCAATGAATCTCACATGCCCCCTTTTCTTCTCCCTGTCTTTCTATTTATATGGGATATTCTCTAGAAACCCTAAAAAGTAAAACAAGGGGAATATCCAGGAGAATATTCTGTCACTAGTTCCAAGACTACACTAGCCGTTATTCCTACTCTTCGCTACTCGATCTCAACCTCTACGGCTCGTTCAGCGGCTACTCGTTGTTGGGCTTTGGTCGACCTCGTCCTATCCGCCCAAATCGGAGCACAGTCTTTTTACCTTACGATCTTCCCACGTCCAACTTCCTCAGCAAGATTTTGACCCATACAGTTAGTCCCTCTGCTTGTCGGGGTCGCCTTCTGGTCGACCTCGATGAGCAGACCGTCTCAATAAACGATTTGTAAAGATATTTTTTGGCGTGGTGATCGAGTGAAGGTGTCCGTTGCCGAAGTAATGACGTGTTATTTTGGGATTTGTGGGTCATGGGGTTGGTGCAGCATCACGTCACAATGCATGCGTCATTATTGCGCATCTTCCCAATGCGTTGCCCTGTTCCTCGAGTCCCTGTTGTTTCGATTCTAGGGCTACTAGCGGTTGCTTGCATCGACTCCAACGCCCTTGAGGTCTATAATAAAGAGGGGAAAACTTCTTAAAGAAACTTTGGCACTCTTCTAGTTTCCTCAGCCCTGCACTTGCTTCCTTTTCTCCTTCTGTATTCTTGCTTCCTGTAACCGCTGCCATTGCCACCTTTTCTTCTTTTTCTGTTCCCTCGTATACACATTATCAGAAAATGGCTACCGTGACTCCTAATGCTGAGATGCTTTCTGACCCTACTCAATTATCGGTGGACATGCCTTCCTGTGGCGGAGAATTAACGGTGGTAGAGGATGAATGCTTTCCCACTGTGGAGGAGATCATTCCTCGTAACCCTACTTCCAGGTCTGACTTCTCTAAGGAACCCACCCTTGAACCAGAGTCTGCAAAGTCAGAGATGGAGGAGAAATATCTCGCCGCCTTTAGGGCCAAATACGGCATTCCAGCCCACGTTGACCTGGTTCCGACCGGAGACGACGTGATTCAGGTTCACAAGCTTGGGTACTGTGCATTTTACGCCTACCCGTTCCATATAGGTTATTCTCTTCCTCTTCCTCCGCTGGGGGAGGAGTTCTGCCGCTACTACCATATATGCCCGGCACAGCTCTCTCCCTACCTTTACAAGATCTTCCTTATGTTGGCAAAGTTTGCGGAGCTTACCGGCTGTGAAGTCTCTATCCGCCATCTTCTGCATCTTTTTGGGCCGAGCTTCCATAGGGGCACGATGATTCACCTCCGCCACCGCGGAACCAAAAGGTTGGTGGCGGGGATGGATGACAGGACGAACTGCCAGTTTTGGGCCTATTATATCTTCGTTAAAATTGAGCACGCGGTGGAACCTAGCGACTTTCCTGAGCAATGGAATTATGCTCGTAAGTATCGTTATTTGGAGTACGTTCTTCTCTTCTGTTTGCGATTCGTGACTTATTACGTTATTTTTCTTTGCAGCTGAGAGGCATCCCCCACTTTGGTCGTCAACATCAGTGATTGGGTGGCCCGCGTTTTGCCTCACACCGTGGGGACCCGTGATTGGGCGTCCTTCAACAAGAGATTCGGGCTCAAGCCCTCAACCGGTAAGTCGGGTTTCGCCCTTATAACTATTTCTCTTTTTCTGTAGTGCATGTCCTTTTGCC